AGGGGACAGTCAACGGCCACTTGAAAGATGGCTCAAAAGGTTCAAAACGACGACAAAAATCTTACAGACAAAGAAGGAAGAGGACAACTATTGGATCTCGACGATTAGGTACTTCTAGTGGCGTGAAAGAGGACAATAACCTGACAGCAGGGGAACTGGCTGAAGATTTTTGACACGATCCAGTCAAGATTGTCCGTCCTCTCAGAAAGCTTGGGAAGATATGAATTGGCTGGATATCGCCCACGACTTTCCAAAAACAATAAAGCCGAACGAGTCCGATTTTTTATTTGTTTGCTGCAACAAACATGCTCCTTATCCAAGATAGAATCTGTGTGCCAGGTGAATCGCTCAAAGCAAATTCGGAAAGACCTTTAGGAAGGCTATGTAGTGTACGATGGGAAAGAAGCAGAATCATTCACTGGAATATCATTTCAAGGCGAATTCCGTAGAAAAATGGCAAACGACGAATCAGCATTAACAGCGACGTTTATGTGGCTCAGCTTGAGCATCTTCAAGCTGTAATTCAAACGAATCGCACTAAAGGTTGCCTTTTCTACCACGATAATCGCGTTCATATGTTGAAAGTTGTTCCATCGAGACTACTGAAATAGCGGATGATGCACTCACACATGCGCAGACTCACCAACCGAAGCATCTACAGAGTACCACGTCAATCATTTGCTTAGAAACTGATTGTCGAACAAAAGTTACGGCGGCTTGGAACAATTCGTGACCGATGGCAAAGCGTGCATTGCATCCGCGAACCATAACTTCTTTGCTACCGTTTACCAGTAAAATGGGAGGCAGTAGTTAAAGTTAAAAAAGTTTAATGATAATTACGTTTCAGGAGAACCATTTGATGTTCTATGTTGAATATTGTCAAACTTCCTACTTAAAAAAGTATGTTGAAAAGCGCAATAATTATAAATTATCTAATAGGGATATTACTGGACATCTCGAGATTTAATAATCAAGTGTGAAAATGATCGTTCACAACCCTTTTATGATCCCTTCTCCCTGACGAGCAAGATAAAAGAGAAGAGGGAA